AATGATTTGTGGGGAAATGCCTGAGGCCACTCGAAGATCTTCTGACCGCTGAATTCCATGCTTTTCTTCCCATCACTGCCCGAGCAGCAGTAACACAGCTTGTTTCTCTCACCTTCTTGGTTTCATGTCAGTGACTCTCAGAGTCAACAAGGAACATTATTAAAAGGAGATTGTATGAATGTTCTTCCCAGGCTTTTACCCCCTGCAACATAGAGAAGAGCCTGGAAATGGGGAATGGTGCTGAGTGGCGAATAGACCCTCTGGGACAGTGATCTCTAGGACCATGTGGGATCCACTCCACTGCCTTTCTCCAGCTTTGGCTGTCTTATTCTTCTCTACTGTTCACCCTGATTCCGCCCTACTAGACCCCAAATTTCAGACCTGTTAGAGTGTGTGTTCTTAGAGGCCTCACACAACTGACATTTCCTATCTCATAGTTTCTGTGGCTTAGCGATTTAGGAGAAACTAATCTGGTGGTTTCAGATCAGGGTCTCTCATTGGGCTTCAGTCATCTGAAGGCTTGACTGGAGCTGTAGGATCCCCCCTAAGATGGCTCTCCCACAAGCCTGGTTGGTGGGATGCCTTAATTCCTTGCTACATGGGCCGCTTGTTAGGACTGATTGAGTGTCCTCACAGGATGGCAGCTTTTTCCAGAGCAAGTAATCCTAGAGAGAGACCAAGGAGGTGACTACTAGAGTGCTTTAACTCCCTTGTTCTGGGAGCAATTTGCCTAGTGCCTCAGGTCTGGTACCCCAGAAGCAGAACATGAGATGAGGATTTTTGGAAAGTGATACATGAGATATGCGAAATAGATATCTGTATAACTGAATAACTGAACAAACCCTTCTTCTGGTGGAGAATCCAGATGCTTAGCCTTCCTGGGCCTGTGTCCATTTCTGGGGGAGCTAGCTGGGCAGGGACCATATTGTCCCATCAGTCATGGGAATGGGTGAAATCCCAGAACAGATCTCTACATTTGGAGTGGCAACACCTTCTAAGTCCATGGAACTCATACAGGCTTTTTCCTTGCAAAATTAGGATGAAACTATATTTCTTATTTGTGGATAGGGAATTATTGATATTAAAATATAATATAATATATATATATATATATATATATATATACATTTTTTTTAATTTGATAGACAGAGATTACAAGTAGTCAGAGAGGCAGGCAGGAGGGAGAGGAGGAAGCAGGTTCCCCGCTAAGCAGAGAGCCCGATACGGGGCTCGATCCCAGGACCCTGGGATCATGACCTGAGCCGAAGGCAGAGGCTCTAACCCACTGAGCCACTCAGGCGCCCCGAGATATATATTTTTAAAAGGAACCTTATCTGGAGTTTCAGTGAGCTCTTGGCTAAAAGTACATTTTTCTTGTCTTGCCACATCCTGGTTGGGTACCTGTTACATGGTGAGCCATGATCGAAGGACTGCCATTTGTTCTAGTAATTGTAATCCCTGGGATTCAGGCATTGGATTTCAGTTCAGACGATCAGAACTTTCAGACAAGACTTGTCCATATTGATAGAGTTGTTCCCATCTTTAATATATGGAGGGAAAAGAGAGTTACTGAGGCTCTCCTGTTTCATGGGTTATCATTCTGTCCAAGTTGTTACCTTAGAAAAGTCTGAAGAAATAGCAAAGAAATCTCCCCAGTTCATTCTGCTTTCCAGGTGCTAAACCTTACACTATTTTCCTGAGGGAAAGTGAAATAGTTTCTTGCAAAGAGGGGCTTTTGTAGCTCTAAATCTCATCTTTAGTTGTTGCTTTTTTTTTTTTAAACCACAAAGTTAGTTTTCTTTCCTCATCTCTTTTCCTGGGATAATGTCTGGCTCTGGTGAATCTCTGCCTTTCTGGGATCTTCGAGACTCCTGTGCTCCAGGCCCCAGGAGATTTCACTCCTCTGAATGGTCAGTAGATGGACCCATTGAGAATCAGTCATGGAGTGGGGAGGGGAGGTCTTCATGTTCCTCCCTGTGCGGGTTGGTGGTTGGATTCTACCTTGCAGAACCAAGGAGCTCTTTGTTCTCGGTGGTAGAGCAAGATAACCTAGGCCTTTGGATGCGATTTCAAGAAGGTAGATCTATAAATGGAAAAAAATTATCAGACATTTTTCACAACTGCTTTTTCATCCTTCCCAACTCCCACTCTATTGTTCTTTGGGTTTTTAGAACTGTGTCAGAGAAAGCAGAGACAACGACAGTGGCCACATCCTACTTTTGCTGTGCTCAGAATCCTTATTTTTGTTGAAAAAAGGGTCTGATTTATTGTTTCCCTCAGTATTTCCACAAGAGGGAGACTGCTCGTCTCCTCAGGAAAGGGAACATGAGGGCAAACATTTCTCTGCCTGATGATGGAGGGGAGCTGAGCAGGTGAAAGGGGGGGAGACTGGTCCATCACTCCTTTTCTCTCTGGCTGGCTGGCAGGATGTGTCATTGCATACCTGTGGTCCTGCAGAGGCCTGCATGTATAGACTTGAGGCCAGAACACTGGTGTTCCAAGCAACAGATTTGCGGATGGAAGAGGCAAGAAGGGGCATCAGGTCCCAGTTGTGTTATTCTGCAAGGTCAGGGGAATCCCTGCATTTGGGAGATTGTTAGCCATTAATAAAGCTGACATTGGGCCTGCGGATCGTTTTTTCTTTGCCTGCCTGCTTGCTTGCTTGCTTTCTTTCTTTCTTTCTTTCTTTCTTTCTTTCTTTCTTTTTTTGAGAGGGAGAGAGAGAGAATCCCAGGCAGGCCCCATGCCCAGTGAGGAGCCGGTCACTGGGCTTGATCTCAGGACCCTAGGACTATGTGCTGAGCCAAAATCAAGAGTGGCGCACTTAACTGACGGTGCCCCTTAGGAGCGCCTGGGCCTGTGGTCTTAAAATATGACCCCATTTGTCAGAACCCCCAGGAGAGGTGCCTGAACTCTTATATTCCCCTTACTCTTGACCAGGAATGGCTCCCAGATAGCTTTGCACGGCTATTGCCTGGGCAGTTCAAAACTCAGTGTGCCTGAAAGTGAGTTCCCCTTACATCTGCTTCTCTCCTGGTTCCTCTCTTGGGCTAGGCCTCTGCATGGTGGTGGTGTCCTAACTGGAGCTTCCTTTCTCACCATGCGTATGCACTGCCCCTCTCGCTGGCTGCTCTCTGCTTATCACTCAGGTCTTAGCTGTGACATCACCTTCGCCCAAGTCTTTGCTGACCCACACGGCCTGGGTGTTCCTGGAGCCCCCATACTTCCTCACCAAAGTCTGAATTCTACCAAAGCATGTTTGCCCTGTCATTTCTTTGCTTTTTCCACTAGACTTCAAGCTTATGTAAGAGAGGTCTAAGTATTATTTATCTTGAATACCAGCTCTAGCACGGGGCCTGCCTGCTATAGCTGGTCAGTTAATGTTTCTTGAACGAGTACCACTCGGGCCCAAGAAGAGTGCCTGAGGCTGTGAAGCTTAGTGGTCACAAGCCCACCGTTGGAACTGGAGGCCTAGGTTTGGACCCTGCTGTTTGTGTGACCTTGGGGGAGTTCCTCAGCTTCTTGATCCTCAGCTTCTTCACCAATAAGATGGGGGTGATAACTGTTTCCTAGGGCTGTGATGATGAAATGCTTTCATTCATGCAGAACACCTGGAGAACTGTGGGACACAGTGTTTGTTTTTCCAGATAGCTGTTGACAACAGCAGCAATGCAGTGATCCTTAATGGAAAGGAGAAGGCCATAAGCAAAATTTTGAATGAGAAGTCAGGCATGTGGAGTGCCTGCATAATGGGTTTGGAGAGGTGGAGAGGTGGTTGGGAACCGAGGTTTCTAGCTAGGGCAATGCAGATGGAAGAGCAGATAGGATTACTCTGGGAAAGGATGAATGGTGGTAGGAGGAATAGGAGAACCAAAGACAGAACCTTGAGGAATCCTACCTCTCAGGGATAAGAGGAGTCAAAACAGGAAAGAGAGAGAATGATTGCCGGTAGGAGACTGCAATGCATCAGATGCCAGGGACAGGAGTTTTAAAAAGATAGTCAGGGGTGCTGTGCTGGGCAGAAGTCTTGGGAGAAAACTAGAAGAGGCAGCAAGAATCCAGTAAATGGGGGAGCATTAGTGCCCTTGTGTGTTTCAGTAGAGGCAGAGGAAGGACGAAGCCAGGCTCTGCGAGGAGTTAGAGAAGGCCAGGTTGGGGACAGAATGGACACACCAAGGATGATTGTTGTGCTGCAGATGTGTAGGACTTTGTGGGTAGGGGTCTGATGTTACTATCATGAGGAAGTCACGTTAGTTCGTACGGAGGCTTTTTTCTTTGCATGTTAATACTTTGCATTGCTGGCTAATAGCAACTGAGTGTAGCCGGCCTCCTGGAGACGGGGAGCAGCCCATGGCGCCTGGTGTCCCGGTGCTCTCCTGCTTGGTTTTGTGGCACGTGCTACGTCTTGAAGGGCTTTGGGGGCAGTCCTCGCCAGTCTTCGTGCGTTTGTTCACTGATTCCATGCCACTTGGTAGCCTCAGCCTTTCTGCTTACCCCTTCCATCATGCTCTCCCACCCCTACATTTTTAAGGTAAAGAGTCCTATCTCTTAGAGTGTTTTTCTTAGGTATTTAATATTTTTTCAAGTTTCAGTGTTGTATTTTTGTTGTTGTTATGGTTACTGTTTTTATTAGTGCTTGGGTTAAAATTGTAATTCATTTCTTTCCCAGCCCTTTTTTTTTTCTCCTGATAAGCCTTATTTATTTGTTTATTTATTTTAGTTTGAGCTTGTAAAACATTCATTTTTAGCAATACCTATGTGTAGTTATGGACAACATTACCATGACCCCTTTTCCTAAGATTGAACATGATGGAAGGGGCATGAGAGGGAGTGGCAGGGTCTAGGGAAGGTTTTCTCAAGGATCCAAAGACTTGACCGTGCTTGGCAGCAAAGTGGTCTGAATCGGCTTCCACTGAGTGACATTTCCTAGGTTCTCTCCATTATATATTTAGGTGGTTATGTTTTTGCATTTTTATTTTCTGTATGATATTTTGCTACAGTCTGAACAAGCGTCTGAGGCCGAAATACAGCCCCAGCTGAACAGAGCCCCCTCTCAAGCTGCAGACAATAGTCCGACCAAGAAGGTAAGGCCTATGGGAAGGTGCCTCTGTGATAGCATTGTAAGCGCCCCCTGCCCCGTGCCCCCACCCGGGCTTCTTGGCTCTCTTTGCAAATCTGTTTTACTTTGATTTCAGTGTCCTGACCTGAATGTTAATGATCCTGCTTTCCTAGAACTTGGGTTCTTTGTGAGGATTGGGGTGCTGATGGTTCTTGGGCCTGCCCTTGATGTCACTGACAGTTTGCACTTCCTCTTCAGCCTCCAGCTAAACATGGAGGCCTTGTTTTTAACAAGTTCAGGAGGTACGATAGGGAGGGCCAAGTGCCTTTAGCAAAACTCTGTGCACTGCTGAGCCTCTAGGAGGGCCTGTGGTGGGGGGCGGGGTAGTCTGCCCTTCTTCCTCTGTGTGCCACAGTCCGTCCTTGCATCCCGGCGTCTTCACCTTAACCCCCCAGTGTCACTGAGTCCCAGGTCACTTACTCAGGAGGCGCTACTCAGTTGCCATGCTCTCTCTCCACCTTGTTACCTCTCCTTGCTGCTCTCCATTTTTCTAAGGCCCTCCTCTGCTCAGAGCATGGGCCCTGGGCTGGGGAGCACAGGTGAGGAGGGGCCTCCCAAACAGCAGGCTGGCTGTCTCCTTCGAGAAGACACTATGGCCCTTGAGCTTGCCTTCATATATGAATTGGAATGGAGGAATGAGGAGACCTTCACAAACTTCAAAACTCACAACATATTCCCACAAGCCCCAAAGTGAGATGAGTCTGCTCACAAAGTGAGCTTTGTCTGTAGTCAGAAGAGGCCTCATGCTGCGAGATGCACACAGCACTGAAAAAAGGGAGAGGGTGGACAGGTGGGCCACTGGAATCTCATTCCTGTGTCCTTTCAGGTGTGAAAAGTGGTAATAGACTGCAAGCATGGAAAGAAAAAAAAAAGGCCCCTAATATCTGATGTTTGTGTCCCCACCCCGTTCTTGCGAAGCCTTGAATCCGCCTTCTGTCATCAGGTGTGGGGTTTGAACAGAGTGTGCGCCTGACCTGGGAATAGGCCTAGGAGGAACATGAGGACATTGGTGTGGTGGGGAACATTTCAGTTTTTAACTTTTGGGTTTTATTGTTATGTATTTAATCCTCAGGACATACCATATTCTCAGCCTCCATCAAAGCCCATCCGAAGGAAATTCCGACCTGAAAACTCAGCTACAGAAAACCAAGAGCCGTCTAGCACTGTTGGTGGGCCAGCGTCCGCAGCGACCGGGAAACCCCACACAGCAGTCCAAAAGTAAGTACAGCAGATCAGGGAGGTCAGCAACCACCTTTTCAATCTTTGTATGTGTGTACATGTAAATCTGTTTACATATATACTAGTGGCCACGGAAGGGTGTGATTTCGTGGCTGCAGTTTTGTCTTACTCCTCTCTCTGCTGGTACTACAGGCTCCCCGTCACCTAGAGACCTAAGCTACAGGACTTAACCTGAGCCAAGGGGCAAGCGAGCACAAAGCTGCGGCATCTTAGTTTGGTTTGATTTCCCTCCCTTCCTTCCTCCTCTTCCTCTCCTTCCCACCCCTCTTCCTTGTGCTGGCCTACATTTTCCTAGGAAGAAGACAGTGACAAAAATGATGGTTTCTCCTCTTTGCCAGTCTTCATTTAGCAGTAATCGCACCTCAAATAAACCTCATTGGCTACGATACTGCCAGTGCGGAAAGCTCCCTCTTTGCCTGTCTTATGCCCCCCCCCACCCACCAGGGCAAATGGCTAGCTTCCTGGCCCTAAGCCCCAACTTTGAGTAGATGTGGCTTGTGATTTCTTTTCATACCCCATGAAAATTTTCTGTTGTTGATCATGTCAGCACAGAATGGTCACATGTGGAGCTTCCAGAATCTCTGTCTGACTGGCTGTAACAGACATTGGAGGAGGTGGTATGGGTGGGGGCGGGGGTGGTACCTGTGGACAAGGCCAGGAACTGAGAGAACAATGCTCTGGACAGACTGTTTTTCTCCAGAGGCTTTGGCTTCAAGAAAGGCTGTCACTTGCCTCAGTTTCCCTGTAGTGAAATTGAGCTAGGTGTTGAGGGCAGAAACCCGCTGCTGTGCGTGACTTCACAAGTGAACTAACATCACTTGTCACTAACATCCCTGCCCAAGATAAGCCCTGACACTGCTCTTGGGGCCTTGTCGATCCCAGAGCAAGATTCTGTGGGTGCAGCTTGCCTCGGAAGCCAAAACTCCATGGGGAATCTGTGCAGCACCTTCAGATGATGGTTTTTGTGTCTGTTTTTCCAAATAGACAGTTCCCTAGTGGTATCAGTGCATAAAGGAAATCTGTTTTGTCCTTAATGGCCCCTGAGAGCTTGGACTATCTTTCAGCCACTGTCAGGCCTGGGGGCTGGATCCCTGTCAGGGACAAAGATGGCTAAACTTGTTTCCATGAGCCACCCTGGCTTTGCAGTGTAATCCCTGCTTCACATTACTGCTGGACAGTCCGTGGCAGCTCCAGCAACCCCCACACTGGATGGACGGCAGCTGGCGGAGCTCACCCTGAGGTCTTTTTCAGTTTCTTTCCTTTGTCTGTGGGGTTTTTAAAAACAGTTTTATTGAGATATAATTCACATAGCATACATTTCACCCTTTTACGTGTACAGTTCAGTGGTTTTTAGTGTATCTACAAAGTTGTAAAACTGTTGCCACAAACTAATTTTAGAATATTTTTATTGCCCCCCAAAGAAATTCCATGCTGATCAGGAGTCACTTTCCATTTCCTGTCCCATGTCCCAGGCAACCACTAATCTACTTTCTGTCTTTATAGGTTTGCCTGTTCCGGCCATTTCATGTAGATGGAACCATGCAACATGTGGTCTTCTGTGGCTGACTTTTTTTCAGTTCACATAATGTGTTCAAGGTTTATCCATGTTTTTGCTAAAATCAGTACTTGGTTCTTTTTATTGCTAAATAATGTCCTATTGTATAGCTATACCACATTTTATTTACCTGCTCATCACTTGATGGACATTTGTGTTGGTTCCACTTTGAAGCTGTAAAGAATAATGCTGATCTATGGGTGGACAAGTTTTAGTATGGACTTGTGATTTCATTTGTCTTGAGTATGTACCTAGGAGTGGAATTGCTAGGTCATATGGTCACTCTGTATTTAATATTTTGAGGACTTGCCAAACTCTTTTTCCACAGTGGCTGCAGCATTTTACTGTCTTATCAGTAACATACAAGAGTTCTAATTTCTCCTGTTGTTTTTTTTTTTCCAACACTTGTTATCTTTAAAAAAAAGTGATTACAGCCATCCTAGTGGATGTGAATGGGTATTTCACTGTGTTTTTGATTTGCATTTCCCTAATGGCTAATGATATTGAGTATCTTTTCATGTGCTTATTGGCCATTTGTCTGTCTTCTTTGGGGAAATGTCTGCTCAGATCCTTTGCCCTTTTCTGCTTGGATTATTTATCTTTTTATTTTGAGTTATGAGTTCTTGACCTATGCTGGATGCAAGTCCCTTCCCAGATGTATGATTTGCAAGTATTTTCTCCCATTCTATACGTTGTTGTTTCACTTTCTTGATGCTGTCATTCGCAGCATATTAAAGACTTTTTTCCTGCATTTGCTTCTATAGGTTTTTATAGTTTTAGCTCTTACATTGAAACCCATGGTTAATTTTGAGTTCATGTTTGTGTATAGTGTGAGGAAGGGGCCCAACTTCATTCTTTTGCATATAGATACACATTTGTCCCCGCATCATTTGTTGAAAGGAGATACTTTCTTTGATCTGCCTGGCTAGTGACAGTCCCTCATTGTGATGCTCTCTCACTGATTAGGTGAGCACATGGTGTCCGACTGAGAGAGGCTAGCTACCACAGCAGCCCAAACAGTGCTGTAAATATCAAGGATGTAAGCTTTGGGTCAGGGAATTCTGTACAGCTTATTTTGCTAGACTAGTTTATTTTGGGGTAGTAAGAAGCAGCTTAACATTCATCTTTTTTTAAGCCCTGGATAGAGAAACAGCTAGACCCATGAGTTATAGTTAGTCTATATAGTTCTTTCTCAACCAGGCTTCTGGGAAAGAATGAAACTCTGATGCCCTTAGACATCCATTGTCTGTAGGAACTTAACCTCTCTCCTATGCATGTAGAGTGGTCTTTACTGTGTATGGTTTTGGGGAAAATTGGGAAAAGAGTCATAAATAATTTTCTTAATTGTCTAACAGAACAGTGGTTTAAAAAGGCCAAAAAAAATAAACTAGTTGTAAAATGGTCATCACCTCTTTGGGAAATGAATATCAGAATTGACCTGTTGTAAGAAGCAAATTCTCCTTCAGATATCATCATTGTCTATTTCATTTAGGGCAAAGGAAAAATGAAATAGTCTCTCCAAGTGAGCTGCTGAGTCCAGATATGACTAATAAACAACTCTTGGATTGTGTCAAAATTACTGAGCTGCTTGTAAGGACAAAAGTGGTTTTTTTTAAAGAAATAATTTGGCTTACTTGGTTTTCCCTCACATCTTGTGCATCTAGTAAAGATGGACTTTGGGAAAATAAAATGGTTTGAAGAGTTTGGAGAGAGAGGATATTGTATAACAGTACTGTGAAACTGTGCCTGCCTCCGTGGCTTTGCTCTTCTCTGTAACCTCCGGAAGTGTCCTGGACCACCCCAGGGCATGCCCAGCAGCTGGTGTGGCAGTGTCTGCTTGCCTGCGTGACATTCTCAGTGTGGTTGGGATTCTCTTTTCCCTCCTGCTTCATGGTTGGCCGTCCTGGCATGTCCGTGGGGTCGATGAGTGGCATCCCTAATGAAAACCTGCCATTTCCAAGGAGACAAAAGGCAATACAAGTTCAGTTCTTAGAAGCTGTGCTCATAATTCCTTGGGAGAAATCAGGGCTCAGTTGGAAGGCTAAGAAGATTTTTCTCATCTAGAGACCCCAGCTTATATTCTTTCAAATATTGGTTTAGCTGTTTGAATGAAACCCAGTTAACAGGCACTCAGATAACATAGAAATTGACTTCTTTCTTGTCTAAACGTCTGAGTTGGTGAGTGGTCCGGAAGCATAGAGTAGCTCTGTGCAGGAACCCAGCTGCCTTCCCATATTCTTATTCTATTTTTTTTCAAGATTTTATTTATTTATTTGACAGAGGGATCATAAGTAGTCAGAGAATAGGGAGAGACAGAGGGGGAAGCAGGCTCCCCGCCAAGCAGAGAGCTCGATGTAGGGCTTGATCCCAGGACCCCAAGATCATGACCTGAGCCGAAGGCAGAGGCTTAACCCACTGAGCCACCCAGGTGAGAGAGCCCGATACGGGGCTCGATCCCAGGACCCTGGGATCATGACCTGAGCCGAAGGCAGAGGCTCTAACCCACTGAGCCACTCAGGCGCCCCGAGATATATATTTTTAAAAGGAACCTTATCTGGAGTTTCAGTGAGCTCTTGGCTAAAAGTACATTTTTCTTGTCTTGCCACATCCTGGTTGGGTACCTGTTACATGGTGAGCCATGATCGAAGGACTGCCATTTGTTCTAGTAATTGTAATCCCTGGGATTCAGGCATTGGATTTCAGTTCAGACGATCAGAACTTTCAGACAAGACTTGTCCATATTGATAGAGTTGTTCCCATCTTTAATATATGGAGGGAAAAGAGAGTTACTGAGGCTCTCCTGTTTCATGGGTTATCATTCTGTCCAAGTTGTTACCTTAGAAAAGTCTGAAGAAATAGCAAAGAAATCTCCCCAGTTCATTCTGCTTTCCAGGTGCTAAACCTTACACTATTTTCCTGAGGGAAAGTGAAATAGTTTCTTGCAAAGAGGGGCTTTTGTAGCTCTAAATCTCATCTTTAGTTGTTGCTTTTTTTTTTTTAAACCACAAAGTTAGTTTTCTTTCCTCATCTCTTTTCCTGGGATAATGTCTGGCTCTGGTGAATCTCTGCCTTTCTGGGATCTTCGAGACTCCTGTGCTCCAGGCCCCAGGAGATTTCACTCCTCTGAATGGTCAGTAGATGGACCCATTGAGAATCAGTCATGGAGTGGGGAGGGGAGGTCTTCATGTTCCTCCCTGTGCGGGTTGGTGGTTGGATTCTACCTTGCAGAACCAAGGAGCTCTTTGTTCTCGGTGGTAGAGCAAGATAACCTAGGCCTTTGGATGCGATTTCAAGAAGGTAGATCTATAAATGGAAAAAAATTATCAGACATTTTTCACAACTGCTTTTTCATCCTTCCCAACTCCCACTCTATTGTTCTTTGGGTTTTTAGAACTGTGTCAGAGAAAGCAGAGACAACGACAGT